GTGGCTCCCGTTGTTGCAACTTCTGCTGCTGCGAGCGGTATCACAATGGACGAAGTCGCCAAACATACGACTGAGGATGATTGCTGGGTTGTCATCAATGGTGAGGTATTGGATGTCACAGACTTCCTCCCCAAGCATCCTGGTGGAAAGATGGCCATTCTTACTTTTGCTGGTAAGGATGCATCCAAGGAGTTCAACATGATCCATCCGGCTGGTGTGATTGAGAAGTATGCTCCCGACGCTACTTTGGGACCACTTGTTGAGAAGGCTGTCGGTCCTGCAGCTGCTGGTGGTGACTTGTCCCAGCCTCTTCTTGCTGACCAGTTTGAGTCCAAGGCTCTCACTGAACAGTGGTGGGGTGAGGATCGTAACAAGTCGGACATGTTCGGGCCACTCGGACCATCCATCAGCTCCTACGCCATCTCTCTCTGCTACCTGATTTGGATGTTCGTCATTGACACTCTCAAGACTATCTTCAGTGTCAAGAATTACAAGGTCCTGTCTGATAAGTCTGGGTTGCAGCGTTCAGCTATTTTCATGATGGTCTTCGTCACTATTCATGCTCTCGGTAACATCAACCTGTTGGTTGGTGATAGGAACTTCGAGGGTTATGCTTATCTCTTGAACCATCCCTGTCCTTGGAGTACACTATTCCTCCCTGTTGAGATTTATCTCTTGCTCGCCGGAATTCTTCATGTTGTTGTGGCTACTGTCCGTACCTTCAAGTTCAAGTCTATGAACTCGTCGTTCCGCGACTTGGAGATGTTCATCACTGGTTGCATTCTACTCATCTTCCTCATTGTGCATCTTATCCAGTTCCGTTTCGTTTCGGAGGCCTCGGCACCTAAGTACTGGATGCGTGATAACTGGTTCCCTTGTGCTGATGATGATACAAGTTGTCCGATCATTCACTTCAAGGATCTCTACAAAATGGCATTCCAGATCTTTGAGAGCTTCGGTTGGGTGTGCTTCTATATCGTTGGCGTTATTGCTTTCTTTATTCATATGAAGAGTGGTCTCAGTCGTGTCATCATGACGAACGGCAATATCCCGAGGAAGTACAAGAGCACTACCCAGTTCTGGGGATCAGTTATGTCCTGGGTGCTTTTCCTTCTATACCTTACATATCCTCTCTTCGCCTACTTCAACCCTGTCAAGGACTGGGCTGCGTATGATGCGAAGCAGATTCGTCCACAGGCTTAGATAGGCTGTTAACTCATTCTGACCGTCAGGTCGTTTATTTGTTTAACTTGTTAAAATATTGTCCATAGAATCATGTTAATGTTGTGCTGGAGTCGCTAGGTTAGTGTTGGAAAATATGCAGATGGACAACTATATTGTGGAAAATTGCCACTGACAGGCTTTCCATATTGTCATGGACTAAATGGAAATATTGGAAATTGTTGCTGGTTCCTTAACATCTATACTCGGGTTCGTACACGAACTCCTATGATTACTGAAGGAACTGTTGAACTCAGCTGAGGAGAGCGAACATATACTCCGACACTGCTATAGGCTTATGTATTCTTTATAATTACGTAGTGTAGTGTACAGCTTTCTAAGAGCGATCGTCATCGTGATTATCGAGCTTGTGAGAGCTCAACTGAAATGTGAAGGCTTTGTCCGTTTCGATCTCAAGAGAGTCACCATTTCACACAACATGACAAGGGTCACATATCAAATCATTCATTCATAACATGTATATTCATACCGAGTCATTCATTCTCAGGCGTTTTGAGTGCCTCGAGTTGCGCCACGAGATCATCCACCTGAGGGAGAAACCAAGATGAACTCCTCAACACCAAGTCTCTCAGCACCTGTTGCTGGAGATTTGCGTTCTTCATCTTGAGTTCCTCATTCTCAGCTCGGAGCTCGTCAACATCCAGCCCCGCAGGAGTACCAAGGTATTTTTTAATGTAATCGATACCATCGATCGGTCTAAAGGAACCACGAGCAGAGCATTTTTCATCTAGTCCGTACCATCCGCCTGTCAAAGCCGTACGAATCAACAAGCGAGGCATGATCATCGACATGAGCGGAGCTTAGACTCACCTATCGGGCTCCTCATACAGGCCGACCAACACGCGAGTGAGCTGGTTGATAACACCTGTCTTCTCCAAATACTTACGGAATTCATCCTTCTGTGAATCAGCCGTGCCAAGACTCATATTCAATGCAAACAGTGTTACTACTGAGCCGTATGTGAACATAGCTTCAATTGACAAACTCGACGTCCAGCATACTATGATAACGCTCTCACGTTAATGGTTTCCCTCGACTTCTCAGTTGGCATCTTTTCCTTGCAGATTCCAATCGGGCCTCACTTGCTCGTGCCATCCTTCGAGCCCGGATTTGTCTCTCATACATAGAAATCGGCGCCGGACATTCACGTGCAACATGAGGTGGAAGATATCTCTGATCGCCAACAGAGGTACTCTTTCTCATGAACAACTCGTACTACCTGAGCTGCAGCATGCAGTGAGTTCGCTCGAGCCTGTGACTCTTCTTTTCGAGGAACCTTCCTGGGTGGTACTGCCCAGCTAGGAGCGGCCTCGGGCTCCTCTCGCGGAGTTCGTCGGAATAGTTCAAGCAGTTGCGGCCAGTCGACCTGGCAAGGGCATGGTCACACTTCTCGTTTGAATCTTGATGTACATAGTTAGCGCTGAGATCCTGCAGTTGTTGATCAGAGAGCTTGCGCAACATGTCTCGGGCTCGGTCGTATTCAGCCGTGTATATCTTCCTAGCCGCAACAGGACCACTCTGCGAAACCTCCTGAACACCATCATCACTATTAGCTCAAAGCGACCCAAAGAACCTACTCTCGATGAGGTTACCGGACCTGCTACCGTGTCGGCCCTCGGAGCGCTACTCGTGACGGTGAGTGGACTCGGTGAGCCTCCTGCCCCCCGTGAATCCGGCGTGTAGGCCATGTCCATCGACTCGGGTTCCGCAGGGATGTCGCAACTGTTGTACTTCGGATTGGGATTCAAGGAGCAGTACCTGGGGCACCAGTCTCAAGAGCGTGCACAGGAGCTTTCTTACCATCTCTGCGGTAGATGTTCGGTATTAGAGATCCTCCGCCACTTTTTGCACTCGTCGCACTGAACCCATGTGAGAATCTCCCGGGCAATAGCCGCGCTACCCTCGGGAGTGGCGAGGCTCACAGGAGGACCATCAGGACTAGGAGTCGACCGCCGTCCCGAGCGAGTTGACCGGGACTCCGACGCTGCAGACATAGGAGTTTAACTACCTGATGAATGGTAATTCCCATACAGTCCCTTAGTCTAGTCTTCCCCACATTTAAACATTTGAAAGCGACACCGATGACGCGAACAACAACACATATCCATACTGGTACATCCAAAGAACCATGAATAGTAAACTGCACATGATGAGAAACGCTCCGCCAAATCTCCGAGTTCAATAGCCCGGAAATCACAGAGGTAGAAGGCCGATAGAGATCGTTGGAGAGCCACCAAGACTGCTTGCAGACATAGGGGACTCTCCTCAACACAGGAGGCTGGAGCATTCAGACAAGTCCGAATCCGCACCCGAGAGTAGCAATTTGCACACCTAGAACAATGAGAGATTCGGACAAACTAGTTAGACGTAGCGCGTTGGAGATGTGTGTAAGCTTGGCTGTAAGGGAGACTACGAAGATCGCTACTAACTCTGGATGTTCAGTAGTGAGTAAGGCTCAGACGCGGTAGTGCTCAAACGCGCGACTGGGACTAGACAACCGATGCCGCGGTGAGCGGGACGATGCTCAGTCGAAATCGATTTGAAAGAAGCATCGGCGGTAAGGCCACGAACAGAGGTCCCTTTACAGCGCCGTAAACGCCCTCGGCTGATTCAGGCATATCCGGAGCCCGAATCATCCAAGTAGTGACGACTGTTAGACATGGGAAGCAGCGGGCAATCCTCGCCACTGCATGTAGCGTCTTAAGCCAAAGTAAGGACGTAGACCGCATAGACGACGACCACGGTGGTTGACACAATGGAGGAAAAGATAGCAAAGAATCTCTCGGGTCAATGGATCCACTGGGAGCACAATGGGTTGAGCTGAGCGAGGACTCGAATCGGATGCATACCGGTCGAACCGGACGTAACTGAGAGCATAGCAAAATGCATAAAGGAAGCGCTGCCCGCCTGACATTGAGATCACTACGCTGATGGTAAACTCAGGACGTGACTATTGATAAAAAGGAGGAATATATGACTGCTCTCAAAGCGACATCGTCAACTCTTGAGCATCTTGCTCATCTTGAACTTACTCAACGGCCCACTACCATCATTGAAGCGCGGTCTGCAAATCGAGTGTTCGCTTCTCACGAATGAAATACGATTCCAAAGTCAGTTTTGAAACTGGTGCTAAATAAGCAATGGTAACCAGTTTACAATGCATACCATTCAGGAGAGTACTTGGCGAATAGCGTCGCTGTGCCGCGGGTTGAGTAAGGCTTCATGGCTGAGGAGACTAATTCTGCGGATAAGGACATCATTTTCCGGATATCGATTCTATCACATTCGAATTTGTAGGGATAGTGGGGGAATCTTTTGCATGGTATACCCTCGGGCATGAAGGCCCCGTTCGCTATATATCCATCCGAATGGTATAGTGGTCAGGCATAGCGGCCCCATCCGCGAGATATCCTTCGGAATGACAGTCCATGGGCATAGCGGCCCCATTCGCGAGATATCCTTCGGAATGACATAGTCCACGGGCATAGCGGTCCCATTCGCGAGATATCCTTCACAATGACATAGTCCACGGGCATAGCGGCCCCATTTTACACATATCCTCCCGAATGGTGTAGTCTTCGGGCATAGCGGCCCCGTTCGTCAAATAGTATTCTGCATGGTATCCTTCTCAGGCATAGCGACCCCATTCCCCAAACGGAATATCCCCTTGAGATCTACAACTTGCCTTAGAGAGAGTTTCCTCCGTCCCTCTCTCTCCTTTTCATTACCCTTTGCCTAGTGTAGTTTCCTACCAATATGGACCAGCCGGCACCACAAGTCGACCCTCCAGCAGACAACTTGCCTATCGACCTACCGCTGGCCTTCAATGCCCACACCGAGTACGTGGAGGAGGAGGTGGTGGAGGAGGAGGAGGAGACTGCTGGGACACTCTATTTGGACTATGGAGGGGATAGAATCGTACATGTGCCCAAAGGCAAGACAGGCTTCTTTCTTGTCACATTGGGTGAGAGTAATGATGGGCCGAGGTTTGTGACTATCCCAGAGGGAGCGCCGCTCGCTGAGCATGTTCCGGTGAGGGTGTCCCCCTGTGGTAATTTCTTCGCTTATGCTACTGCGGGTCCGATTCCACAGCTGTTGATCGCAAGAATGGGCGCTCCCTCAGTGCGAGTCATTGAGATACCACTGGCCCCTGGTGTTAGAATTGACACCATTGTCGATGTCCTTTGGGTACGGCATGAAGAGGCTCACAGTTCAGCGTTGCAATCCGGAACTGCCTTGCCTATCGTATTGGACTCTTATATGCTGGTTGTGGTCTCTCATCATTCTCTAGATGTCCTTCGGCTCTCCTCGGCGCTCAAATTCGCCAAGCCACTCCGACGATTTCCTCTCTCTGGCAGCAGTAGCCGCTCCAACAACGATTCTAGGGCTCAAACGCCGGCCACAGTTCGTCACGTTTGGTATGAGCCTGATAGTGGTATTTGCGTGCTTTGCATCAACCAGAGGACTCTGCAGCCGTTTGATCTCAAGCCACGTCTGAGAAACCCACAGCTGCCATCGGTCTCCCCGAAGTCAACTAAAGCCACCATCGCTGTCAAGATGCCCAAATTCGATCTCTATCCCGCAGACGTGCACAACCCCAGTGATTGCGTAGATGAGGTATCCCTCCTTCGTATTGACTCAGTTGCAAGCACAACTTCTCGTAAGCTTGTTGCTGGTACGTACATCTGCCACGTTGATAGTGCGGCTGGCCGACTCTCATTGCGGAATCTGTCTGTGAGTGGTTTGGCCAGTCCCGAGCACGACGCGGTTATTCAGCTCCCGGCCCTATCCAGATCAACAGGACGAGGATTGCCACAGTTAGCGGTGCATGTTGTCGATGGTCTAATATGCGTCTCCCGATCTCTTGGAACCTCCGAGGCTGTATCACCAACGTGGTACATCTACGATATCTATATACGAGGTTCGGGCCGCTCTCTGCCGCTAGTGCCGCCGTTCCGGTTGGATTACCCTGGCGCAATGCGTTCGTCAGACATCCTGCGATCATCACAAAACAAGTATGTCATACTGGCTGAAGATAAACGTACTATGGTCTATGGCTTAGAGCTCCAAACTAGCCCATTCGTCGCTGATTTGATGAGCTCAGAGTCATTGTCTATGTTGGAAATCGCCACAGTATTGTTGAGACGTCAAGGATGCCGCGACGAACTGTGTCAGACACTAAGGTACTTCCTCAGTGATAGAGACCCATCTCCAACTCTGGAGGAGCTCGCTTATATTTTCGATGCTACGAATGCATCCTATCGAGAATGCATAGAGCGAACCCCTCTCCTCGGTGGCGAGAGCGGCGCTATGGTCAGCTTGGCTCGGCTACTCGAGTCCGCTGGCAGCCGCACTATACTCACTGAAGTAGATGCGGTCGATTGTATTTTTCACCCGGTTTTATGCTCGATCCTGCCAGATTGTCCTCGGCCTCCTCTGACTGCGGGTTCTACTGAACTCCTTCGCTATGGCCTGGAGTGTACTCCGGAGTCATCGTGTTTACAGAAACTGCGCAAACTGTTGTCACAAGTTTTAATATTCTGCCGCTCATTGTTGGCCTTGTCGGTGTATCCGCATAGACGGGTACAACTCTTCCTTTTCGATCTCTGCGTTGTGGCGCGTCAGCAGCATTGGTTGCAACAACTCCTGCACTATCACGTCCTCCTGGATTCTGCGGAGATCGTGGAGCGTCTGGACTTCATGTGGAGGTATGATATTGGTCAGAATGATACGCGGAGTATCAGTTGGAGTCAACAGTGCATGATGGATATGGCCTGGAGATTGCTCAGCACACGGTCAGCTAGTCCGAAGCTGATTGAGCTCCTCACTGAGGCGCTGTTGGATGGCGGGGACCCAGTCGACATCGTGGCGTTTTTGAGGCAGCAGACAGAACTAGGGGGATCCAACGTTCCCTTGGTTGGGATATTAGAGAGGGCGGAAGAGCTTGTCGAGGAAGGGAAGGTAGTACTGTGTTCATAGGCGAGTGATGATGGCTTGTTGCTGGTCGTTGAAGCTACATGTTTGCGAGCCTAGTCGTGCTTGGCGAACTCTTCTATACCCTGTGGTTGTCATCTAGTATATGGGAGACTCACGTGTCCAGTCTTTTGGTTTGGTCGTTTGGTTCGCCCGGACTTGCACCGCCTGTTGGTGATGGCGACCGATCTCTGTTCATTCCATCTCAGTACGATCCCCGTTTGGTCAAGTATCTGGTCGAGGATATCCGTCAGTGGCGGACAGATGCTCTCCTCGCTACCCGCATGTCCCGATTGCGCTTACAAACAACTTCAACCGCCCCGAGCCCTACCTCAGTTCTGGTAAGTCTCACATGCTAGCTTAGCCCTTGGCAGTGTACACATGCGCCCAGAATTCAGATGGAATTTCGGTCATTATCATTCACTGCTCCCCCCACTTTCATCGGAGGCAGTTTTTTGACTTTTGTGAGCGAGAATCAACTCTGATTATGGATGGAGTTGTAACGTTACTTACAGTATCACATTCTGTATGAATATCTGGCACAGCTCAGCTAAGAAGCAACTAGAGTCTAGTTATTAGAGCACAACTGGGATATGAAGTCTTGCACTGGCGATTGTTGAATTAGAAGAGTCGTCTGTATTGCCACGGCTAGGACTCACTCATCGAATCAACTGTCTCAGGCCTCTCTGATGCCCAACGATGGTGGATGTGAGAAGTGGCTGCCAGAACTGCGCGAAGAGGAACCACTCAGTTCGGATAGTGTCTGAATTCGGATTGCTAGTTTGCTCGTTAGCATCGTATCATTTGTGGCTATTCCTGAAACATTTGTGTGATTTTTGCACAGTTTCGATCTGAAAACCTGTCACTCGAAGTGTTTCGTTGAAGCAGTGATTTTTGTATGCCCTCAAATAGAACTCAGTCGAAGCAACTCGTAATCATCCACTTGTATCCGATAGTCTGCACACCCTGTATCGAACACTCGCAGAACCGAATTCTCCCTTTTGGGAGATCCAATTAGGGATAGTTGAAAGCTATACAACTTCGGTTATCGAAATCGGAACTTGATTTTCCATTATCAGACAGCTGCAGCTGCCAGCTGGGATTGAGTACTTCACAGCTCCTCTCGCGGGCGACGGGAAGGTAGTCGGAATGCTTCTCGGTCAACGCGGTAGCCGGACCATGTGCTTCACGAGATACTACATTCAATTATTCACGATCAACTCTCCACGTTAGATAATTCGGGCTTACACAACCGGACACAGGCCCGAGGGCCCCAGGCCACTAGACAGGTGCTTGTCACTAGAATCGCTAGACAAGGTGTAGTGCCAAACGGTCATGCCAGTTCAGACTCTGAACTTCAGGGCGGTGTAACACAATCCGGCAAGACCACCTTTTAGCTAATATTGCGGCTCTGCCAGAAGCTATGATTTCCGACAATTTCATTAATTTACTCCTGTGTATATGCGGCTTCCTTCGTTACAAAGTAGCAACCACATTTACACCTCAGCAATTACTAGAATCGATTTTAGCACTCGACCAATCTAAAGTAAAAAATTTGGAATTATTTTCCAGCAAAAATTTTTTGCTGCTTCTTTGCCGCGTTGTGCCTTTTCCTGGTTAAATCTTCAACGTGGTACTTTTGGCCAGATGTGTTTTGCCCACACTTTTCGTTATTCTGTCAGGTTCTGCTGTTCCGTATGTCTTGCGTTGCAATTATGTAGTCCGGCACCTTTGAAGTTTCTTCATGAAATATACAAACAGTTTGTATATATTCTGCTAGTCTAGCAGTTGCCGCTATGTGACAATGTTGCGGTATTTTTATGGTTCGGCTAAGTGCTCTCTTCTAACGTACGTGCTGTAGGAATATAACTTAGCGTTTTGCTGATTCGCTCAAACACCGTTCCCGTTATCGTAGTGGGCAAATTTGGCTTTTTCTACCTCCCACATGCGAGTAGTATAAAATCGAGCAAACACATTTATCCCTCAGTCTATCAACGCAGCACTCAATGTTTCAGCAAGCTGGACTGTTTGGCTGAATTACTATTAGACTCATCATCGGTTCGCTCAACTTTCCTCTCTGTGCCTTTGCGTATCTATCAAGTAGCCACACCTTTTAAAGGCCTATTTCGCGTTTAGTAAGATCAATTGCGCAGGGGAGCACTCATCCGAGCCAAGATATGCGGCATGTCTATGATATGCCATATCATATGCCATAGTAAGATCAGTTTCACCAGCGCGCTCGATAGAAAAATCAATTTCGACGACGCGTGTCATTAGTACAATCAATTTCGCCGGCATATCTGAAGTAAGTTCAATTTCGACGAAGGGCGGGAATCGATTTCGCTGATAGTATATTCATACTATCAGCGAAATTTGGCTGATAGCGGAATTCGGGCCACTCAGCTAGCTTGGCACGATTGCGTTCAAGGGTATTCGTAAGACGAATGTCCGAACAGCACTTACGATTGAAAGGAGTTAGTATGAACGATCAGTTGCAAGCAACTTGCGCTTTCTTCAACGACTCAAGTGTGCTACACGGCAGAGAGCTGAGAGGGCGGCGGAGTGGGGATTGGGACGAAAGAGTAGCCGAGTTATCAACATCAGAGGCCAACACCGTGCTGTTCTGGACAGCCCGGAGGAATGATGAACGTGAGAGAGTACAGCCAATCCAATATCATTTCACAGATGAACGTCAGCGTGAGTGGAGGTTGAAGTGTATATGGAAAGGGGAGGAAACGTATCTACTCACTAACGGATGCGCCTGGAGAAGTGAACGAGGAGTGAGGTTCCCTGTGAGCAGGGTTGTCGGAAGTGGAAATTTCGGAAATTTCCGCTTGCGGAAATTTCCGAAATTTCAGACATGAAATGCAACCCGTGAAAATTTCATATTTTGAAGGAAATTTTAGGAAAAAGACGAGGAACAGACATTGAACTTATCCCTAGTGCTCCGAAAGCTCCGAAAACAATTATTCGGTTAGACGCCATACAAGACATAACGAATTGACCACCGCATACGCGATCAGGACCGATTCAAGGAGAGATCGATTGAAATGACGCGCACCAGATGTCATAACCGTTTCGCAACATGGTGATTTCATTTGTGCCGGTATACAACATCATGTTCAACATGGTCCATGTTGTCAACATGGTATGCTGTGTTCAATGCTTAGAGTAGCTCTCTAGAAGTCTCTGTTATAGTCAGGATGGAGTTCACTCACATTGATCCGAGTCTACTACACAGATTTGTTGATATATGCCCAAGTTGGATCAGCCGAATGACGACGTGGTCTCCGATGAAAGAGACGTCTTTATCTCTAACTCAACCCCTCGGAGATTCTTCACGGTTACAGAGGAGAGGGTTGTTGATGATAAGATCCAAAATACCTTCATCTGCCGGTGTGGGTGGGATCAGGGGTTCGACAACTCTACTCGTCGAAGGGACCATGTTCGCCGTGAACCCTGGGCCGAATTGGGCCTGCTACTCCCCCCCCCCCTACCAAGAAGTGCCGAAAACGCCGAAGGTCTTCTATGGTGACCTCAACAGCAAGCACCAACAGCGATCCTCCCCTCAAGTTTACTCCCAAGATTTCGGACTTCTTGCTTAAGGTGCAAGCTGGGGATCATTCCATACGAATGATTCGTAACGAATCTTGTTGCTCTGGCTACGGCTATGAACTGGAGTCTCAGAGACACTACTTCTAACAGCACCAGTGCGCTCCTAGGCTCGCTTCATCCGGGGTACAAGTCGGTCACATACGAAGAAGCAAAAAAGATCAGGGCTGATATTTTTAGAGAAACTGGGGAACTCTGTTTGAAGGAGTTTTTCGACAAGACCAAGCAGAGATTTTCAGAGAAACAAGACCTCCGCCGGTATCCGGCGGAGCGAAATTTTTTTTCCACCTTTGAAACAAATTTCATGGACATTTCCGTATGAAATTTCAATTTCAGAAATGGCCTTGCGATTTCCATGAAATCGACAACCCTGCCTGTGAGGATCGATGACGAATTACCACTTAATATCAGCCGTGAATGGAGTGGTTTATGCCATAAACCACTCCATTGCCCATAAACTATAAACTTTATGGTATATGCAGGATATGGAAGAGAGGGCGCAAGCGAGACGGGATTTTCTTGCTTACATCGGCGGTCAATCAACGGCGGAATGCCGCCGTTGTAGGCTGTATCTGACACGAGAGCGACGTGACAGTGGAAGAAGGTGCAGTATAGACCCCTGTGGAAGACAAGCAGCTTACTCTTGTCCGATTACACATTGCGGGTCGGCAATATGTCAACGACACTTACAAAACACAGTGGAGACTCTCCACTGGACAGGAGTGAAGAGATTACTGTCCGGGGAAAACGACTGCATATACCCGTGGGAGGAAGCGACAGCAGCGAGGAGCGAGCAGAAGTTGAGGAAGATGAATCATATACAGTTTACGGAGCAGCTCCGTATTTGTCGAAAGAGCTCTCTCCGAACGTTGTGGGAGAGCCGAAACCCGAACAAGTTAGTGTAGAAGAAGGATCGATCTTACCGTTCGATGAGCTGGACTCGCGGCGCGCTGTGAAGCAGTTGGCTGCGAGTCTCGCTTCTAGTCCAAAGGTCCTGAAAATATTCATGACTCACTTGCAATATGGGTACCCACTTCGGGAATCCCAAATTGGGATAGCTCCGATTACTGCAGCTGTACGAGAGTATACGGAAAATCTGAAAGAGGAAGAGAGCAAGTCATTGTAGGAGGGGATTCTGGCTGATCTCGCCTTAGGATGGGAGCGGACAATGCGGTACTTACTCGAGTATCTGCGGCTATCGAGGGAGAATCTGATAGGAGAAGTACAGAGTACATTTGCGAGATGGGAATTTCAGGACGCTTCATGAAATCTACCTCATTTGCATTGTTTTATGAAGATGAAAACGAGCGCGAGCATTGATGAAATTCGAGATAACATAAGCTGTGCAACAACCACAGCCTACGACTTGAACCACGGCTTATATTTATGCCCAGCGACGTTGAAGAAGATAAAAGAAGCGGGTCTAGCACAGACATGGGAGGAGTGCAGAGAGTTTCTGAGAGATTACAAACGTACTCAGAGTCCCGACTGTAGGAAGGCAAACAGTCGATGTATAAAGAGACGCAGAATAGCAGTCGACGGTGAGGCGGAAGCCACAGAATGGGTCGAAGAATGCCGAGTCCCTCTCCATTCACCTGCTAGACAGCGTAGCTTCATGACGATTAAGGCGCTGCATTCAGCAAAGGCCTCGCGTGTTCTCGAGAAGATCGGACTTGCAGTGCAAGTCTTGCACACAGGACCAAACCTGAGAGTAAACGACAGGTATGTAAAGCACTGCAGGCAGGAAGGCATAAGTATGCAGCCGACCAGGGAGAGCATATCAGTCCTGTGTGTCCACTGCTATTCTTCATCATCCGAAGCTCGATGAACATTCAAATTTGCGATGAGTACTTCAACGCTAAATACCTGGCAAAGTACTTATGCGGCCCAGAAGAGCGTATCGGAGCGAGAGTCAGTAGTGGAGGGAATGACAATACCGTGAACGTCGAGGTGGACGGGATACAGAACATCAAACTGGGAATGAGGAGGGCGGATCTCACAGCAGATCACAAAACCTGTGAGAGTGGAAGGATAATATCGACTCCAGAGAGTCTATGGTAGAGTTTTGGGTTATCTTACGTTATCAGCAATGCTGCATGGCGAGCATTTGTCAATAGCAGATGATGTCGGTGGAGCCATTGTCGAACGATTGACACAAAATAATTGTGATCCACAAGAACGCGCACGGTATGTAGACGACAGCGAACGGGGTCAACAACTGGCAGTGCTGGTCACGAGCAATCCCCGACCGGCGAGCGGAGACTCTTTCTCAGTACATCTACTGCTATCCCGTGGGCGATATTCGACAGAATTAGACCTGTTCGGAGAGGGCTCTCTGCGCGAAGCGCTCAGAGTTGGGCAGCTTGTACCATTCCGAGGACCTCAGGTCCTGGACCTGTTACAGAGGAGCATGTGAGCAACTTGGTGAGGCGGTATGTACGTCGTGCAGCACTACGATTGTCCAGAGGCTATCGATGAAAATCTGGAGAGAGAGTGTGTGGGGAAGAATTACGAGCTGAAATGATGGCTATTCGCGTCGCCATCTCCGCCCCATCACAGTCTGAACGGAATCACAGTAATTCGGCTAAGACTTTCCTTTCATTGAATTTCAATTCCTCAAGAAACAAAATTACGACAATTTGTCGTCGGCAAATGTTATGTTGCAATTTCTGATTTGTTACAAGTCAGATATTTGACGCTCCGCTGCCGTCGAAGCTAAGGGAAAACGAAGTCCCCCAGGCTCTTGGAACACCGGAGGGAAAGAGTTAGTCCAGAAGGCTTACGATAATTGCGTTAGCGCGCCGGAAGCCCGGCCGCCAGCGCACTGATACTCAGTGCGCTATATGGTGTATGACCACTACCAGTACAATGTCGTTGTATCAATAAGAGAATTCCGCGGGATGGCCAGGGCAATTTTCACTGGTTTTCGCGCCCTCGCTCTCATCGTCGTGCGTTCATGTACTACCCGCTACACTGCAATATCTCATAATTGCCTATAATAATGATGAAATTCTAACGCAAGTTAAACAGAGCTCGGCAGCTGAGAGAGAATCCCACTGGCCGCAATCATAAACGCCATATCACAGAATACACAAGCCATCCCGTTGAGCACTGGGCAAAGGTCCGATTCAATAAAAAAGCATTCACTCACGCTTACATGATTTAAGTTATATGACTGTACCATCAAGGTTTTCTCGCCATTCGTACCATGGGAGGCCTGAAATAGGGCAGTTGATCCGATCGGTAATATATCAGTGATGAACGGTTCAAGAACCCCGTTCTTCATCGTAGTGACAATTTTGATCAATTTGTCCTTCGTCACTTGTTGACGAAAATTGTAGTTGCGACGAGCGCCCCGCCAAACGGTCCGCTCAGAGCGGGGTCTGTACCCGTTTTGCACTCAATCATCCCTTCCCATGAAACAAAAAGAACATCATTTTATTCATGGCCACAGTCTGTAACACTGATTGCTCCCAATTTTAGAGGGAATTCTCCACATCTCCTCTCAGCTAGACTGCCTGATCATTGTCAGTGGCAGTGTCATAGGTCATAATCAGGCCGAGCTTCCATACGGATTATACCTCACAGTAAGCTCACAAATAACTTTGCTACCATGTCCGCCCATCTAGATGCGTCATCACTGGTGACCGTGGACGGTATATCACCTAAAGATGAGTAGACAGCTCTTGGCAGTGCTCCGGGCAACAGAAGACCAAATCGCACTCGTTCCGCATCCAGAACCGAGCTTCGTGTTTAGAGTCCTCCTTCGCGTCCTGCACATTCTTCTTATCAAACTCAACTGTGGGTGTATCGTGACACTGACTCAGATAGACACGTGGAATGACAAATGTGAGATCGTACAAACTCTCAGACCCCAAGATGCAACTCGCATGATGCAGAGTCTGCCATTGACTGCCGATGGTTGACAGCAGTCCAGCCCTCTCTCTAGGTTCCTAGCGTGTCGGAATCTCACTAGGATCCCTCATGATCTCACTGAGATTCCGACTAGTGTAGGGGATTCAGGAGCAGGCATGTTGGCCCTAATAACTTCTCCGCTTTTTGACTCGAGCTTCAGCTCCATCCCCATCAAGCAATCGAGGAGATCGGATGCACCACTTTCGAACCTATTCACAGCCCAGGTTGATGCGGGCACACCACCTCTGATTGTTTCTATTTAAAATACCTCAGCCATCTTACGTGGAGTAGGGCCCCTACTGTAGGGGATCATACTAGCGTGAGCACTTGAGTATGGCGTCTTGCCAGCATTGCTGACACGAGGATCTTGAGTGGATTGAGCACCCGCTCTCGTTATTCGCTTGGCAGAGTAGGAATGTAGAATCATTAATCCACGAGCAAACTGGCGAACTTTGAAGTAGCTGGACTACCTGCTTAGTTTAGCTGTCATACTAAGTGTAAAGTGCTGACATAGTTAGACCTCGACCTTAGGGATTTTCAGTGAAAATTTTTCACCCCAAGCTGTTCTGATATAGCCGGGGATAAGGTCATTGCAACGACTACCACAATCTGTCCCATGCAGTAACTTACTAGTAGTAAGTTCAAGTAGCTAACCTTCTGCTCACTTTGTTCCAAAACTTTTTGCGCAGCTTAGAAGCCTGTTGCTTCCTCGCAGGGCGATGCCTGCAATGCCGACCTTGAACTACTCCTTCCTCTTAACCTACACGCCACCAGCATTCATTTTGATGCTATTGTTTTGCGCCGGAAGCCACTGACAAGGTGGAATTCGGCTAAGACCTACTTCATCATATATCACGTATATCGTCGCGGGTACACATCAACAGAGCCATGCTGGGGATCGGAATGAAAAGGGCCGTCACAGTCCGCGCAGGTTTGGTTGGGAAAGAACAAGGTATACGGGATAATCGATTAGGTGGGCGGTCGCTAAAAGCAAACCTTTGGAATTTGTCAGCTTCCTCCTGCACATGGCTTTCCCTGTGATTGGATTCCATCACATACAGTAGCATTGCCGCTCAGTTTCCTTTTCCTCTTCCTTTTCCTTCTTGTTATCCATGAAGCCAGTATCCAGTCAAGTACATGAGGCCTTCGGTAAGGCGTTGAGGTCCACCATACCCTCGAACTTACAGGTAGGAATATAATTGCTAGAAGGTGTCCAATGACCATCGACAGGCATCTTGTCCTGATCCGATGGTCGCTACTGCCAATCCTAAATTTGGGGATTATCAATGCAACAACGCCATGGGGTTGGCGAAGAAGTTCAAGTCAGAGCTTCCTGATGGAATGAAGATTCCAAAGCAAATCGGGGAGAAGATCAAATCCAATTTGATGGAAGGTCGGTCGTCGTCTTCATTAGGAAGGACCATCAGATGTTTCTCTTCAGAGTCTCCTGAGGAATTCGAAAGTGTCACCGTCGCCCCCGCCGGTTTTGTTACTGTCAAGCTCTCCTCTGGTTGGATCGCCAAGCAGTTGACATCAAGTGTAATAAGAAATACTAAATGAGGAGTGGAGGATCATTCAGGTTCTCGGAGAATGCAAAGATGGTAAAGTTACTTTGGATTTGCCGAATAAGGAAGCCCCGAGGAAGGTCATCGTTGACATGTCTAGTCCGAACATCGCCAAGGAAATGCACGTCGGACATCTGAGGAGTACCATCCTCGGCGAGACCGTCAGTCGAATACTCGAATACTCCGGAAATGATGTAATAGAAGCCGTGCTGTCTCGATTTTCGGCTATCCTGGGGCCCTGGGCAAACGGGTGACCGGGGCCTCCTTTCAAGGAGTAATCACGTGGCTGGGGAGCCAGTGAACCTGAGCCTCAGAGCGATTGCCCAATTCGGCCGCCCCTGTGTACAGCGCTGAATAGAAGGATGTTGACGATTTGCTGTTATTACTCGACTCACAGGTTCATCGTATTAATCATGTCGGCGATTGGGGTACTCAATTTGGTATGTTGATTGAACACATGAAGGACGCTTACCCCGACTTCCTCCATCACACCCCGGAAGTCTCCGATCTTCAGACCTTCTACAAGGCCGCTAAGAAACGGTAAAGTGATCATCAGTCGGGTTTTTTTCTCGGAGAACTTCATCAGTTTTGACGAGGAACCCGATTTCAAGAAACGTTCTCAAGAAGAAGTCGTCGCCCTCCAGTCGGGTGATGAATACGCGAGGAAGGCTTGGCAGATTTGCTGTGACATTTCGAGGAAGAGTTTCGAGGAGGTAATGACTGCCATTGGAAGGATGCCTTCGATGTGGCCGTCATCAGGTGTATAATCGTCTTGGCATTGAAGGGTTGAAGGAACAAGGCGAAAGTTTCTACAACGAAATGATCGGACCGACTGTGGAGACGTTGGAGAAGGAGGGCCTCGTGGTCGAGTCAAACGGCGCGAAGTGTATCTTCACTGATGTTGATGATGTAAATGATGATTTAGTCGATCATTGATTAATTGATCTTTATTATACTCAGGTGCCGATGATGGTCGTTAAGAGTGATGGTGGTTACGGCTATGACAGTACTGATGTGACGGCGGTGTGGTATCGATTAACTCAACTACACGCTGATGAAGTTGTTTATATTACCGACCTCGGACAAGAAGTTCATTTCAAGAAGCTCTTTGAAGTCGCCAAGATGGCCGGTTGGCATCATCCTCCTCAAACTAAACTCGAATACCTCGGCTTTGGTGTTGTCTGTGGTGATGATGGCAAAAAATTCAAAACTCGATCGGTGGGTCATGTCTATGGTTATTGTCATTGATTATTATAAACTCCCTTTAGGGCGCCACTGTGAAGTTGACTGACCTTCTCGATGAGGCCGAGGACAGAGCGAAGAAGGAATTGGAGTCGAGACTTAACGCGGGTGAAGGGGAGGCGGCCGGACGATCGACCGGACTCACCGAGGAAGAATTCGATAGAGCATCGAAGATTATTGGTGATGATGATGTGATGAAGTGTGGTATTAAATTAATACCTTTTTAGTGTTGCATCTGTTCGATACTTTGACTTACGCCA